GAATATAAAAAGCTAAGAAACCAATAAATGACAAGAAAATTAACAGAAAAGGAGTTGGAAAAAAAAACAAACCAAGGGATTGGAAAAAGAAAAAAGAGAGCAAGAAGCGAGTCTGAATCTTCAGTAGATGAAGAGGATGCAGAGCACATGTTTTACATAGAGCTATATTCGAAAGACGCCAGGGGAGAGGGTTGGGTTCTTTGCGTTAAATGGAGCTCAATTTGATAATGATGAAGAAGATTTCAATGTAACTTTTGCATCGAAAGTCGCTTTGGGAATACAACGAAACAATTGGATTTTTGATTAAGTAGAATTCAAGCACAAAAAGGTTCAAATAACTTGTGAAGATGAATATTGTGAAAGAGTAATAATTATAAGTCTGTACTAAGTACTTTTAAAATAAATGCATATATGTGTAATATTTTATTTTAACTAAGAATGTAAGACGATCCCCAGGATCATTTTGACCCTACCACAGGGATCATTGTACAAAATGATCCTTTCGTAAACTTTCAGAAAATGCTAAATAATTCTAAAAATATAAGCAAACTGAAAAAGAATACCTGCCAGTATATCAGCACTAATATGATTAAAAGCCCTTTCAACGTTTGCTCTAACATAAATATGTTGGATACAGTAACCATTCTCCCTTACGGGGATCATTTCGTACACCTTTCCCCTAAGTAGAAACTATAGAAATTAGAACAATATGTGAAAATTGTCTTGCAACTTTCATTTATTGACGTCCATAGAGTCATCTGTTCTTTCTAATATATCTTTATTTCTATCTTTCACTGTCCACGATATCTTTATCATTTGCCGGTAACACCAGATTTCGAACGCTTCTAACCTTTTCTTTTCCGCCGCGCCCATCGTCCATGTTTCACACCCGTAAAGTATCGTGTTCCAACACAATATGAGAAAAATTATAAAAAGAAAGTAAAATAATAATAATTTTTAGCAACATAGCAATAAATGAAATATAGTGACGTAACGTCAACTTTAAATCATATAAAACAAACCTAAAAATTTTGGTAATAATGACAACAAATTTGGATATAATAACGTGAAATTGTAATGTTACGAATCCTTCATACGATCTCATTACAGCCGGTACTTTTTCTCATTGGCACTCTGACCGGCAAAATAAAAAATTATACCCCTAGGTTATTGCGAATCCAAACAAAATTGGTATGAGAATAATGTACTATTTGTATGCTAATTATGTGTCAAAGTCAAGTGAAGAAATATCGAAAGGGGCTCAGGCAAATTTCTTACAATTTGAATGAAATATTTACGACAACAACTTTGTGAATTTCATTATAAATTGTAGAAAGCTTAAACAAATTTTGTAGAAAATATAAGGAAAAATTAGCAATTTTTATTAAATATATTTATTGCGTTTCAGTTTTTTGTTCTGACTCAGTACAAATAGGGTGTGATCTCGTATATTTGCTAATATTGTGCAATAAGTTTCTTCGCTTGTATGGTGTTACTACGCGTCAGTGTTTGTTAAGTGGCTTCTACTGATNTACTGCAATGCAATGGTAAACTCAACTACTTTTTGTAAAGATGCGTAACATTATATTGTATAATTCATTCTTAATTGCTGTAGAGAAATATTCTACAATTTTGTATAATTTTTTTCTAATTATTGTATTGAAATATCCTACAATGAAAAGTAATTTTTAAGAGAAACTTGTAGTACATATTCTTTAACGTTGTGGTAGAGAGACAAACAGTTTGTAGACAATAGAGTAATTACAATATTATATTAATTTTCACTACAACTTGTTTCTGTCCCTATATTCGCTACTACTTGTAATGAAAAGTTTTACAATTGTAGAAGTTTGTTCTACAGTTTTCTCTGAGTGCATGTGCTAATATTTTTCATTTGCTTTGAACCAGTCCCTGCGCCCTTCGGAAATCATTAAAGATGCTCTATGTCGGGTAGGATTGGAACAAGAAAATCGCTTCCTTACTAAATTGGGGGTCGATAAGATAAGAAGGCTTTTTGTTGTACTTCGTCAATTATTATTGCTGGTGTTTGCTTTTTCTGTTTTCTCTCCTATATAGGAAATGCCGAACCTGACGACAAGCCCAAACCTGGATTAGTGGTGGGAAGTCAAGCATAGGTTTGTCAATAATGACTCAAAGTTCTTCTAATCTTCAAATGTCAAGGCTAGATACATTAATGTTTCCCTAAGTTTGTTCCAATACTGGGGCAGCCAAGCATTTGCTTGTCAATAACGGTTTAATATTTGGTCATACTTCAAATGTAAAAACTAGGTTTATTCACGTTTTACCAAGTCTTGATCCAATATTGCCAGTCCAATCATGAGTTACTATTGCTCATTAAGCTGTGGTTCAGTATTGGCTGTTCAGTCGTCGTTTGGGCCGAAGAGGCAAACCATACATTTACCATGCTTGGGTCCGATATTGGTTACTAATTTCGGACTGGAATTGAACAATCTTGGGTCAAGATTGGACTGTGGTTAATCCTGTCGTTAGGGGTGGTAAAATTAGTTGGTACTGCGCCATTATTCGGTACCTGGTCGGATTTTAAAAAAAGTGGCGGATTCGCTGGGTACCGAATCCAAACCTTGTAGGTACTCGGAACTCGGTCTACGTCTAAATGTGATTGAAATGATTCCCAACTATTATAAAAAAAATTACTAGTGTCATCTACCTAATTTGTGCGTTGACATCTTCCCTGTACGCCCCTTGGTTGCTTTACGAAGTGCCATGGTGGTGCAAGAATTGTGGTATTGTATTACAACAAAAAATTGAAAATTGATGTGTTTAATCTAAGGTAAGCATAAAATCAACGTTAGATTCTTATAATTTCAATGTTTCTTCATAAATTATTGTTTTAGTATCGACTTATATTAATATTTAAAATTATTTCCAACACGTTTTGATTCTCTTTACGGTTATATTTTGAGGTTATTTCTCGACAACATTTGCAAGTTATATTATTGGAGTTAAACGATTCCTTTATGCGGGTATAAAATGATCCCAAAAATCAAATCTTCGTCCACTTCTTTTGGAGTTTTTGCACCACGAGACATTCGACCTATACCAAATATAGAAGAAAAAAGAAACAGTAATATAAAGAACAAAAACATAAATACATCGATTTTGATAAGCACGCCTTACAAAAACTATTTAGAAGAAGAATCGCAGAAAAAATAGAAATAGAAGAAAAAAAGGTCACGAATATAAAAAGCTAAGAAACCAATAAATGACAAGAAAATTAACAGAAAAGGAGTTGGAAAAAAAAACAAACCAAGGGATTGGAAAAAGAAAAAAGAGAGCAAGAAGCGAGTCTGAATCTTCAGTAGATGAAGAGGATGCAGAGCACATGTTTTACATAGAGCTATATTCGAAAGACGCCAGGGGAGAGGGTTGGGTTCTTTGCGTTAAATGGAGCTCAACTTGATAATGATGAAGAAGATTTCAATGTAACTTTTGCATCGAAAGTCGCTTTGGGAATACAACGAAACAATTGGATTTTTGATTAAGTAGAATTCAAGCACAAAAAGGTTCAAATAACTTGTGAAGATGAATATTGTGAAAGACTAATAATTATAAGTCTGTACTAAGTACTTTTAAAATAAATGCATATATGTGTAATATTTTATTTTAACTAAGAATGTAAGACGATCCCCAGGATCATTTTGACCCTACCACAGGGATCATTGTACAAAATGATCCTTTCGTAAACTTTCAGAAAATGCTAAATAATTCTAAAAATATAAGCAAACTGAAAAAGAATACCTGCCAGTATATCAGCACTAATATGATTAAAAGCCCTTTCAACGTTTGCTCTAACATAAATATGTTGGATACAGTAACCATTCTCCCTTACGGGGATCATTTCGTACACCTTTCCCCTAAGTAGAAACTATAGAAATTAGAACAATATGTGAAAATTGTCTTGCAACTTTCAATCTAATATACGTTCTGTTTTTTGTTGGAGTAAAATCTTGTTTGTATATTAGTAGCCTGTAGCTAGAGTTAATACGTAGTTTCGTAATAGCGTCATTAAATAACTATTAGCGCCAATGTGAAAACACACGTTTCATGAAAGTCTTTGTTTGAACGTTATTTATAAAATATTGCATAGATACAGCACAATCACGTGTTGTTAAGAGCGCCGGTATTTGTTTCTAATAAAGTGCTACGCCAACTTGACGTTAAATGACCAGCTATTTATTGCTCGACAACAATTAAAATAATGACATTGCTGTTTTATTAAAAAAAGGAACGTAAGTTACTCTGATGTAAACCTCTGCATCTTTGCAAGAGTAACAAAATTAGTCTGTTAGAAAAAGGTCAAATCACGATGCGCAAAGTGACTCATGATCAGATCCTAGAGGATAATTCGCTTGCATAGCAACGCTGAAATCCTCTTGAAAATATTTTTTATCAATGTATTAATTATCAAAACCACTATAACTAATCTTGAGTGATGCTATAAAAAATTGCAAGTTGTTGAGTTTTTATATATTTTAGCCGTAAGATAAGATTACCTAATTTTGATAACAATTGAAAAAAAAGGGGATTTTAAGTATTCAGTATGAATTACTTTAAATAAAGGTTACTTCATTAAAAGATTATAGGTGAGATCATAAAACCATTTTAAGTTATTTGTATGAATCAACTTATCATAATAATCTGTAGCGAGTACGAGCTCGTTTGTGTGCGATCGGGCATACGTGTGCGTGGACGGCTTATCGATTCGCCGATTAGCCGCTGCAATTAAACAATTCAAAGAAAAACGCAACGATCCGGATGTTGCTAGAGGGTTTCAGAAAGGAAACAAAAGTATTTAAAAGAAGAGACGATCGCCGAGAGGGAGTAGAAATAAATTGACCGTTGCAGAAATGAATCGAGAAATAAATTGACAGTGATAGCAGTGAAATAAATCAGAGCCGGGCAAACTTTAACTTCGCAGGAGCCGCTACATGAGTTTAGTTTGAGTCACTCCATACCCTTCAATGAGTACGAGAGAGTAAGCAGTANTAAGCCCAATTCTATAACTGCCTGTTGCTCTTTATACACACTAAGTATCATTCTTCTATCTCTACAACATATACTTACATTTTTAAGTATATTTAACATCTTGTCCCATTTAACATTGTCAAAATCTTTTTCTAAATCTACAAATTCTATATGTACGCACTTTTTCCTTTTTCTACCGTTTTCTCTGTTGTTGCTCGTAAAGCCTCCCGCGTTCCTCTATTTCTTCTAAACCCAAATTGATTTTCCCCTAATAGTTCTTCCGCCTTTTTTTCATCCTCCTCTGTACAATTCTAGTTAAGATTTTTGACGTATGGGAAGTTAAGCTAATTGTTCTATATTTGTATCTTTTTTATCGTGTTTTTAGTATATATTTTTTTGTATATAACTGTATATCATGTAATGTATCGATAAATTTGAAAAAACTATTCCGTTCCTCCGACATGACACCCTGACAGTCATCCGATCTCCATCTGCACGTGGTAGGGTAAATTTTGGATTTTCACCCTTTTCTATTCTTTCTACGTAATATTTATTACGACCTTTCACACGGATTATCTTGTGCGGTTCTAAAATATATGTTTCGAAATGTGTACGTCTGATGACTGCAATATTATCAGTTTGATACATTTGTGAAGTTCTTCTTTTCTTATTAAAGCTCTTACTATTGTCTATGTTCCGATTACAGGTTGAATTGATAGTTTGCTGTAGCACTATCAGCACATACTCTTGTTCTTTTTCATCTCACAGCTTCTTTCTTTGCATTAACATCTTATATACTTGAGCGCTACTAATTAAAATATCAAATTCTCTAATTAATCTTTGTTTCACGTTTCTCCACGTCGTATTCCTTTTTCAGATTGAATGAATAACTTTTTAATACCTTGTTTCAGATTCTTCTGCACATTCGTCGTGCATACTTTATTATAAAAAACAAAAATGATGATGTGGTCGTTATGCGTCGTCCTATGAAACTGATTGACATCGATACGTAATGGCTCAGAGTATGGGATGCTTTTACCTTTAAATTTGTTGATTAGTATAGGGTTGTTCGGAAAGTCATTTCGTTTTTATTTGTGGAAATGAAAGACAGTGATTTCGAATGTCGAAAGCAGCATCCAGTCTTGTTCTAAATTTGTTTTTAATGTAGTCGTAAACAGAAAAGCTTCTCTGTAATCTGTAAGTCGATAGAAATCGAAACAGGAACTTGCGATAACTTTCTCAACGACTGCAGGATATCATTCTTAAATTCGTCCAAAGGTCATTCAAACTTGAATCAACTGGTAATATCAATCATATTCTCATCCTTTGACAAAGACACTGATGGTTTAGCATGATTTGCGAATGGATTCTGTACTTAGCGGCTGTCCTGTAACTGCTTTGGAAAATATTCTTTCAAGAATTTTTTAAGGTTCAATAGATGCTCGTTTATGGCTTTATCCACACCTGAGGATACTTGCAACTCATTTTCTTTGAGAAATCTATTTAGAAGAGGAAAACATTCGTAACATTTATTCAATCCAAAAACCAAATTTATTTTTCGATTATTATTCTCTATTGATTACGTTGAGTTTATTGAATTTTTAGGTCAAATAATAAGTCAAATTATACATTTCTCATCATGCAAAAGATCGACATGACTAACAAATTTGCTCCATAGGGTCATAATTGGTGACAAATCAGGGGTTTATGGTTATGACGTGGAAACCAAAGTTCAATCATCCCAACGGAAGCTGCCTCACGAGCCAAGTTCGAAAAAAGCGCGGTAAGTTAGATCGAATTTGAAGATTTTGCTTACAGTTTTCTTGGATTGTAGTGCCGTGATGCATCGTGAGTTCTTGTCACAGGGTAAAACGGTCAATAAGGAATATTACCTGCAAATTATGCGCAATTTGCGCAAAGCAATCCACAGAAAAGCCCGGATTTGTGGAAAAACAAAAATTGGCTTTTTTTTGCACCATGATGACGCCTCCGCTCACACATTGTTGTTTGTGCGCGAATTTTTGGTCAAAAACAACACATTAATAATTCCGCAGCCACTGTATTCCCCAGATCAGGCTCCCTATGACTTTTTCTTCTTCCCGAAATTGAAGAGGCTACGCTACGATTGCAGAGATAAAGACGACACCCAAGAAGGAGCTGAACAAGATCACAAAAAATGATTTTTTGAAGTGCTTCGAGGATTGGAGAAAAAGTTGACATAAGTGTTTAATATCTGGTGGGGATTACTTTGAAGGGAACAAAATAGATACTCACGAATAAATAAATAATTTTTGAAACAATACAAAATTTGCGATATTTTTGAACAGATCATGTATACATAAATAATTAATAAGCACAATTTAAAGCTTTTGAGTGGTGTAAGGCTTTGTTCAAACAATTTTAAGAATCCAGTCAGTTAAGGTGAGCGACATATTTTTAGATACACGCTCATGGACCAAATTATGCATTTTCAATTCCGCGACATAAAAAATCGTTCGATGAACAATTTACCTTACATGTACAGTTTGTTGCAAAGGAGGGTAATTTTTGATCAAAATCAAAATTATAAAATCTATAAAATATTTTACATAATACATTTTGTAAAAAATATATTCGGAAAATTAGAGAAAAAAAGTAAACTAATAGAAGCTTGGATGAAAGCAGTAGGTATCAAAGAAGTGAATTCCGGAATAANAGCTACCAGGGGTGAATCGGATTTCAAAATTATTTAATCTTATCCCATCAATTATTCGATGAAAAAATAAAAGTTTATCTTCTAAATTTAGGAAGGGGGTGGACGACCAGTTACACTTAGTCTCATGTTTTCAGAAGTTGAAATACCTTTTATTGATTGCCATTTTAATTTTAAATTTAATTAAATTGTGACAAATTTTTTGCATAAACGTGAAAGTCGAATTGAAATTGTCGGTTTTGGGTTATTTTCATAGGTTTATTTTCTTCTTCAACGTACCTTGAACTTGTAGTTATTTACGCACGGGTCTAGTTAATTATCGGACGTAATTCGCTTATAATTAAACAACTAGACGACGGCTACGGGAAATTTCGATTAACTAGTATCTTCTTGGATTAAGCGGAATTTTCTTTGGTTTCCTCAAATTGATTATCGATGCCTCAGGTCACCTTTTGTCGCAAATAGGATTAGTACCGAACGCTTTATTGTATCTGCGTTTTTTGTTTTCACAATTTTAAATTATTATTGTTATATTCAGTAGCAATGCTCAGGAAAATTAAGAACACAATTAATTGCTCGAAAGTCTCCAGAACAGTGTTGGTTATTTTGTTATTTGTGTTCATTTATAAAAGATGAGTGAATAAAAAGTATTAACTATAGGTACGTTAATGACATTTAACATCTATAATTTTCTGGATAAAATTTCCTATAAGAAAAGTCCTACACATATTTTATTTAAAATGAAGCATTTTTGAGTTACGGTTGCAGGAATGTTATAACTTTTAGACACAGGTGGTCCCACGTAAATAACTGTTTTCATCATTTATTTTGTACGCGTCAAAAATGGATTCCTGTATGGTCGTTTTATACCACCATGAAGTAGAATATCATCATCATAAGGTCGGCAGTTCTAAGACAGGTTGGACACGCACCTCCCCCTTTCCTATTCTGAGCTAGTCTTCGCATTTCGCTAACACTAGAACATCCCACATCCTGAACTGTTTGCTAAGAATAATCTAATGTAGGTCTACGTCTGCCTCTCCTAACTCCCGTTTCTGTCTCTAATATGTCTTTGACTAGACCTTCATGCCTGAGAATGAGTCCTGCCAACCTATCTCGTCTATTTCTTATTGACTTCCATAGAATCCTCTGTTATCCTATTCTTTCTAATATCTCTTCATTTCTAACCTTCTCTATCCATAGTATCTATATAAGCCCAATTCTATAACTGCCTGTTGCTCTTTATACACACTAAGTATCATTCTTCTATCTCTACAACATATACTTACATTTTTAAGTATATTTAACATCTTGTCCCATTTAACATTGTCAAAATCTTTTTCTAAATCTACAAATTCTATATGTACGCACTTTTTCCTTTTTCTACCGTTTTCTCTGTTGTTGCTCGTAAAGCCTCCCGCGTTCCTCTATTTCTTCTAAACCCAAATTGATTTTCCCCTAATAGTTCTTCCGCCTTTTTTTCATCCTCCTCTGTACAATTCTAGTTAAGATTTTTGACGTATGGGAAGTTAAGCTAATTGTTCTATATTTGTATCTTTTTTATCGTGTTTTTAGTATATATTTTTTTGTATATAACTGTATATCATGTAATGTATCGATAAATTTGAAAAAACTATTCCGTTCCTCCGACATGACACCCTGACAGTCATCCGATCTCCATCTGCACGTGGTAGGGTAAATTTTGGATTTTCACCCTTTTCTATTCTTTCTACGTAATATTTATTACGACCTTTCACACGGATTATCTTGTGCGGTTCTAAAATATATGTTTCGAAATGTGTACGTCTGATGACTGCAATATTATCAGTTTGATACATTTGTGAAGTTCTTCTTTTCTTATTAAAGCTCTTACTATTGTCTATGTTCCGATTACAGGTTGAATTGATAGTTTGCTGTAGCACTATCAGCACATACTCTTGTTCTTTTTCATCTCACAGCTTCTTTCTTTGCATTAACATCTTATATACTTGAGCGCTACTAATTACAATATCAAATTCTCTAATTAATCTTTGTTTCACGTTTCTCCACGTCGTATTCCTTTTTCAGATTGAATGAATAACTTTTTAATACCTTGTTTCAGATTCTTCTGCACATTCGTCGTGCATACTTTATTATAAAAAACAAAAATGATGATGTGGTCGTTATGCGTCGTCCTATGAAACTGATTGACATCGATACGTAATGGCTCAGAGTATGGGATGCTTTTACCTTTAAATTTGTTGATTAGTATAGGGTTGTTCGGAAAGTCATTTCGTTTTTATTTGTGGAAATGAAAGACAGTGATTTCGAATGTCGAAAGCAGCATCCAGTCTTGTTCTAAATTTGTTTTTAATGTAGTCGTAAACAGAAAAGCTTCTCTGTAATCTGTAAGTCGATAGAAATCGAAACAGGAACTTGCGATAACTTTCTCAACGACTGCAGGATATCATTCTTAAATTCGTCCAAAGGTCATTCAAACTTGAATCAACTGGTAATATCAATCATATTCTCATCCTTTGACAAAGACACTGATGGTTTAGCATGATTTGCGAATGGATTCTGTACTTAGCGGCTGTCCTGTAACTGCTTTGGAAAATATTCTTTCAAGAATTTTTTAAGGTTCAATAGATGCTCGTTTATGGCTTTATCCACACCTGAGGATACTTGCAACTCATTTTCTTTGAGAAATCTATTTAGAAGAGGAAAACATTCGTAACATTTATTCAATCCAAAAACCAAATTTATTTTTCGATTATTATTCTCTATTGATTACGTTGAGTTTATTGAATTTTTAGGTCAAATAATAAGTCAAATTATACATTTCTCATCATGCAAAAGATCGACATGACTAACAAATTTGCTCCATAGGGTCATAATTGGTGACAAATCAGGGGTTTATGGTTATGACGTGGAAACCAAAGTTCAATCATCCCAACGGAAGCTGCCTCACGAGCCAAGTTCGAAAAAAACGCGGTAAGTTAGATCGAATTTGAAGATTTTGCTTACAGTTTTCTTGGATTGTAGTGCCGTGATGCATCATGAGTTCTTGTCACAGGGTAAAACGGTCAATAAGGAATATTACCTGCAAATTATGCGCAATTTGCGCAAAGCAATCCACAGAAAAGCCCGGATTTGTGGAAAAACAAAAATTGGCTTTTTTTTGCACCATGATGACGCCTCCGCTCACACATTGTTGTTTGTGCGCGAATTTTTGGTCAAAAACAACACATTAATAATTCCGCAGCCACTGTATTCCCCAGATCAGGCTCCCTATGACTTTTTCTTCTTCCCGAAATTGAAGAGGCTACGCTACGATTGCAGAGATAAAGACGACACCCAAGAAGGAGCTGAACAAGATCACAAAAAATGATTTTTTGAAGTGCTTCGAGGATTGGAGAAAAAGTTGACATAAGTGTTTAATATCTGGTGGGGATTACTTTGAAGGGAACAAAATAGATACTTACGAATAAATAAATAATTTTTGAAACAATACAAAATTTGCGATATTTTTGAACAGATCATGTATACATAAATAATTAATAAGTACAATTTAAAGCTTTTGAGTGGTGTAAGGCTTTGTTCAAACAATTTTGAGAATCCAGTCAGTTAAGGTGAGCGACATATTTTTAGATACACGCTCATGGACCAAATTATGCATTTTCAATCCCGCGACATAAAAAATCGTTCGATGAACAATTTACCTTACATGTACAGTTTGTTGCAAAGGAGGGTAATTTTTGATCAAAATCAAAATTATAAAATCTATAAAATATTTTACATAATACATTTTGTAAAAAATATATTCGGAAAATTAGAGAAAAAAAGTAAACTAATAGAAGCTTGGATGAAAGCAGTAGGTATCAAAGAAGTGAATTCCGGAATAAAAATTTGTTCACGTCATTTTAATGCACATGATTATATTTCAGCAAGTATTTACCATCAGCCATAACCTTAATATTTAAAACTAGAATCATACTAAAATTATAAAGTGAGAAATTATTTATTCCTGTGTTATTGATTTAACACAATTCTAATGATACGATATATGTATTTTGAGGTTAAGAACCTACCTGCTGCAATACAACAAAGTTGCAATAATGTGTTTGAGAAAGAGAGAGAGAGTAAATGTGTATTTGGGACTGAGGAGCGGGTAGCGCTATAAGATGCGCAAGTATATTACACCGAGGAAATGTGATTTTACTACCCATCTATTTTTCATACCGTGCGCTATATATGAAACCATTCTTAAGGAGTGAACTCTAAAAACGTAAGAAAACCAGAAAGAAATACCAAGCCAGCCCTAAATGTAAATTGGCAACGTACAGAGAAATTGCGATAACAATTAAGCAGCTACATGGATGAAGCATGTAAACAGTGACGGTTGTTTTGTGTAAAATAAATAATTAATGTGTTCATCCCTGATAATAAGCAGTACAATTTAAAGTATACCTCTACATGGTATTAACAACATAAAAAGAAAATTGAAAACCGGTCATATAAACTCAGATATGTATGTATATAGTTTATCCATCATGGGAATCTACTCTCAAAGATTTTTCCATTTTCTTCTGAGTATGCTTTAAATTTCCCTCAAAAATGTGCCCCGAAAACGTATACCTAACTACAATATTACAATTAAGAAATTATTGGTGCTATAAGACATTACTTATTCTGAATTGGGCAAAAGCGTTCACCTTTTGGCGTACTTCATTTGCAGCGAGTATATACTTACGTGCAAATCATTAGCGTTCTGCACTGGCGTTTGATACACGCGCTGTTTTATACAACCTCACCAAAGTAGCAGGAGCCATACGTTTAAATTAGCGTTTAAATTGGTCAATGCAACAATAATATTCTGTATTGACCTATGACACTGACACCCTGAACTACTACCGATGACTTCTAATCTTCTAAATGTATATAACTGCACATGCGTGCATATTTCACCACCACATGTATAAATACTAATATTTACATGTGGAAAAGATTTGATTTGTTACTTTCAAAACAGTCCCAGAACTTATTAATCCTTTCGATTCGATTTAATAACCCTTTCAAGAAACGCTTTACCTCTCTCTAACATTATTATTTTTTTAAGTTTTCCTTACTCTGCTAACTGCTACTCTCCTTTTCTTTAGTACTAAAAAATCAATTTTTGGAAGGCATTTCTCTCTATAAATTTCATTCGACGTGTGGTAACGTTAAGTTATAAATTTGAAAAAACTTTTCCGTTCCGCTGACCTGACAACCTGACAGTCATCTGACCTCCATCAGCATGTGGTGGGGTAAATTTTGGATTTTCACCCTTTTCTATTCTTTCCACGTAATATTTATTACGACCTTTCACATTGATTATCTTGTGCGGTTCTAAAATATATGTTTCGAAATGTGTACGTCTGATGACTGCACGTTCTTCTTTTCTTATTAAAGGTCTTACTATTTTGTATGTTCCGATTACAGGTTGAATTGATAGTTTGCTGTAGCACTATCAGCACATACTCTTGTTCTTTCTCATCCCACAGCTTCTTTCTTTGCATTAACGTCTTATATACCTGAGTGCTACTAATTATAATATCAAATTCTGTAATTAATCTTTGTTTCACGTTTCTCCACGTCGTATTCCTTTTTCAGATTGAATAAATAATTTTTCAATACCTTTCAAAGACGTTTTGTAAAACACAATTTCTGTAATTCATTACATCCCATAAGTATAACAGTTTCTTCGAATTGTGCAATTTGTTTTTTAACAAAGCATTCGTCTTTAACATCAAATATCCGAATCGAGTGTTCTACAGGCCTGACGCTATAAGCTGGCGGAAATTTTAGAATGGCGTGGATGCGCGGTGGCAAAAGTAGGCAGTTTTAGGTATAACGATAGCAGCCCTCTTTCGTCAGTATTCCTATCAGGGACGTACATTAAACATTTAAAAATAGGAATCAGTGAGCAAGTAATAGACAGACAAACAGAAAAACTAATTGTTGATGTTGTTGACAGTGATAGAGGTTCCCATGATGACAATTAATGTGAAAACTAACTATAAAACAAAAGCGATAGGTTTATTATTTCTTTTTGGTAAGTTATGTTTCATTATTATTTTCTAGTACGATACTGTCCTATCGGTATTAATAGTATAATTTACGCCTACTGAACGCTTATTTGTGTATCGGTTTCAAGTGACTTACCCAAATAAGTCATAAATGGGCAAGTACCTGCGCGACCGCTCGCCAACTTCCTTCGTCCGACCTGTACATTGCTGAATTTCAACGCAAATGATCTTACTATCGACTAAAGTATCGGCTTTCATGAATTCCTCTTTCGATACTTGTTTCAGATTCTTCTGCACATTCGTCTTGCATACTTTATTATAAAAAACAAAACTGATTGACTTGCAGTTTAATAAAAATGATGATGTGGTGGTCGTTATACGTCGTCTTATGAAACTGATTGACATCGATAAGTAATGGCTCAAAGAGTATGGAATGCTTTTACCTTTAAATTTGTTGATTAGTACTTTCCAAACTGTCCGATTTCAGTCTTCGCGCAACAGCAACAGGCAGAGAAACGGTTCAGGCGGGTAGCAAGGTGGTAGTTACTGTTGTGGTCGCGTGGTTGTTTGGTACTTGCTATCCAAATCTTGTGGTTGCCTGCACCATGCGCTCGACCCTCGTACAAAACTGATAAACACCGGAAATATTGTTTCAGCAAGATTGTTGATATGAGTGATTGATTATTCAACAGCGACTGATTTTTAATTCATTTTGCTCTTGCAAATACAAATTACCATATACCTCCACTGTTAGTTCGCAACTATTTGTAACTATGCTACTNTTAATTTTTCACACACAAGCCTTGCTATATGAGCTCTCAAAGCATATAAAAATTATACGGCTTAAATGTGAAGTTGGGTGCAAAAGAATACAATTAAATCCTCTGTCGGGAAAAAAAACGAAATGACTTTCCGAACAACCCTATAGTTTCCAAGCTGTCCGAGTTCAGTCTTCGCGCCGCAGCAACAGGCAGAGAAACGGTTCAGGCGGGTAGCAAGGTGGTAGCTACTGTTGAACCTCGCGTGGTTGTTTTGTACTTGCTATCGAAATCTTGTGGTTGCCTGCACCATGCGCTCGACCCTCGTACAAAACTGATAAACAGCGGAAATATTGTTTCAGGTTGTATGAGTGATTATTCAATACTGACTGATTTTTAATTCATTCTACTCTTGCAAAGAATTCTAACACAATACAAATTACCATATCCCTCCACTGTTAGTTCGCAACTATTTGTAACTATACTATGAACAATAATCACTCTCCGCCTCAATTTACGAAGATTTACGACTTTTTTTCACCCATGGGCCACTGTAATTCAAATTATAAACCGCAAATCGAAATCATGTAACTGATGATATAAAGAGAAACCCTGGTTTGTACCGTATATTAGATCAATTTAATCGGGAACCTACAATTTGCATCCACGTAAGCTACCCCAGTCATGATTCATGATAATATAAGGCATCTCATATAGGTTTCTCTGGTCAGGACCACAGAAACACCCCAACCTGCCTTTTATAGGAGTATTTGAAACGGTGCGTACGTGATTCGATCCTGATTCAATTTTCCTTTTTGAACCATAACTTCCAGCAGCTGGGATGGCAGATCCGATGCGGATCCAGTTCTACTTATTGTTTACTTGGATGTGTGACGTTTGTATTAAACGTTACACCTTGTAATAATCACACGCATGAGGTGTGTGATGCTTCTATTAATTACACCCTGTAATAATGAGACTCGATTAATACCTCAAACTAGCGTAGAGTGATGCAATAATTGTATTTATCTAGTTTTTTCAATACACTTAATCTATTTGACAACTGAGCATTATAGATAAGGCGCTTACTTATAAATGCTTTCACATTCTGCAACTGCATAGACAACAAAAGCTTATAATTCAAAACAAAAATGGCGATTGCAAGTCCTGGTCCGTCTATAGATAGGGATGATTACTTCATGGCTATTGCTTTTCTTACAGCCAAACTAAGTAGTGATCCTGTAACGCGAGTTGGTGCGTGCATTGTGAAAGACGACGTGGTTGTTGGGATAGGATACAACAGAATGCCTAGAAATAGCAAGAGTAAATTTTCTTGGAAAAAAGATAACCCAGACCCTTTAAAAAATAAATACCCTTACGGTACGTAAACCCAAAATATCTACTTAGTATAAGTTTCTTTTTAAACTTGTTTTGTTATCAATAGTACGGTGGAAGGGAAATTACATATTTTATCATTGCAATGCATATTATCTTTCCGATACTACGTGCAATATTTTTACAAAGTTCAAGTTCAATGCTATTTTGCGTTCAATTTATTTTCACGCTTTTGGAACTAAAGCATTTCTCATTCAGTTATATTACTTAATGTTGAATTTAACGTTGATCATGAGATGACCAGTTGACGTTTCTGCAGAAAAAAGAATCCAATGAAGGAATGATTCGCCCAGAGGAGTATTAATACAGGAATGAAAATTGAACTGTTTTTCTTCATACTAATCGGTTAGCAACTTTACGGAGAAAATTGAAATGATATAATCTGCTACACTTACCATGTGTGTTTCTCTTCGTTAATTTTGGTCGTTTTCGTATTTTTTGCAATTTTTATGCTTTTTGCACTTAAATAAATATCAGTCAAAAAAACGTAATATTAACCGAGACGGTTTGTTAACTCTCACTTGGTCATGCCATGTGCCTATTTTTGTTGCGTTTTAACCGCTTATTAAAGCGCTGTATTAAAATACAGATTGCAGTTTTGAATTAAATTTATTTTGTGTACAAGCACAAAACATTTTCTTTTTTTGGTACAATGTCAACCTTTCTTTTTGGCGTTCAATCTTAAGCTCTGGTAAAAACTCAAAGTTAAATTGTGTCCAGTACCGTCGCCACTCGTCACTCTCGGTTCCTTAGTCAGGGTCACTTTGTGACAGTACGGTGCGAATTCTTAAAAACTACGTAAGGCAACCCTCTGCATGCTGTTAAAAAATATTTCTCTGTCTTACAATTTTTCCTGCACTTTAACATCTATTTCCAAGTTTTTTATAGTTTTAGAGATTTCTCTTTCCAAAAAAAGACCTTAACAAAGGTTTCCGTTTTACATACATTCGCACCGAATGCCACTCCATTTTAGGATAATAGCAAATAAGTATGGATTCATATTAGTTTTTGACAATTTCAGTGTGTCATGCAGCGATGGTTGCGATCTGCAACAAGAATTCGGTGGATGTTAAGGACTCTACGATGTATATTTCCATGTTTCCGTGCAATGAATGCGCCAAATTGATAGTTGAAAATGGAATAAAGGAAGTTGTGTACCTATCAGATAAATATAAAGACGAAATACCAACAGTTGCTTCAAAACTGATATTTGATGCAGCAAAAGTAATATTTAGGTAATACTTATATTACATCCAATATTAGAAATGCTATTATTACGTTAGTACCAGTAAGAAATATTTTATTTTTTTCAGGCGGATTAAACTGAAAAACCCGAAAATTGTGATAAGCTTTTCCGATATCAATGCTGTCAGTATGGATATAGATTATAGAGAAAATATATAACAATACATATTTGTATTAAACTTTTAGACAATTTATTTGTGGTATTAATTAACTGCTGAACATTAACAATGTTTAATCGATGAAAATACTGACCACATCTGAGGCAAAATACAAAATTAATTTTTTTTTTTTTCTTCATTTAAATAATTCGTACCGTCTATAAACATTCTGGAGCCACTTGCGTTTAGCTTATATCAAAGCAATGTTGTCAACTTCTCTTCAAATACGCAGATTAACCGAAAAATAGCTAGGTTATGTGAATAATATAACGGTTACTGAATTGCTTCGACATTTACATTAAAATGATATTGTAGCGAGCACGAGTGTGTTTGTGTGCGATCGGGAACACGTGTGCGTGAACGGCTTATCGATTTATGTGTGTGTCGTACCTGCGTTCTGGGAAAGCAATTAAACAGTTCAAAGAAAAAAGAAACTATCCGGATGTTTCTAGAAGGTTCCCGAAAGTAAACAAAAGAATATTTAAAGGAAGAGACGATCGCCGAGACGAGTAGAAATAAACTGACCGTTGCAGAAGTGAATCTAGAAATAAATAGACCATTGGAGAAGTGAATCCAGAAATAAATTAACAGTGATAGCAGTGAAATAAACAGCGCAGTGAATAGTGATATATCAGCAGTAGTATAAGTAAATAGAATGATTCATAACCTAAGTTTAGTAATAATTATCAGTCTTAGAAGTAAATTTTGTTAAACCCACGAACATTACAATATATTTCAGTAGGTATTTGTAGACCACAGATTGTGATAAAATCATTTTACTATCTTGTAAACCGCTGTGTATTGATGTGGGATATGATATTTCCAAGGGTGCCCTGAGGGGTCAGAGGCAGGAAATTGTATCAACCTTGTAGCTTTTGACAGCGTCCTTGTCAAATCTTATTCATCTTTAAATTCACTGCAGCGCGCGGTTATTAATTTTCCTTTGAAACCAATACGGGTATTGGGTTTGTTAACTATAGACATGCAGAATAAATGAACTGTTAAGTTTAGAAAAATTTTTAATTGTATTTATTGTTACGTAGCAGGTAGTTATTGCTTAATTAAGCTATTGAAAAAAAATGATTACATATTTAATTTAAGCAATTAAAAAAGAGGAAAGAAATTAGCAAAAGTTAATTTTTTTAGTATTCTTAAAGTACCTATATATATACAAAATTAAACGGTACATAGGTACATGCATTATTATAAACCTCTAAAAAGTCCAACTGATGATATTCCCGTGGGATTCTATTTTGCTTTCGTTTTGTGTGAAAACGAGTACTCGGATTTTCTCAGCCCTTAATCTCGAAAACCATTGGCTCTACGAAGATTTTGTAAAGAACCCGATTTATGCAGATTTGTCTCACAATCAAATTTTATTTTATTTTATTTTGGCTACCCGCAACTTCTGCAGCCGTCCATTTGACTACGGATTTTTGATAAATTACTTGTGACATCAAAACAAAAAGAAAATGTTCAGATTCTTTTAGAGGTTTGACCTTCTTTTTGCCAAACAAGGTGAAGGTTAAATATTGCAATAAAGCAGTAGAATTTATTTTTTAGAAACAACAAATTATC